GCACTTTTTAATACTGCTGTTTCTTGGCCTACTTTAACTCAGACCATTAACATTATATATATATATATATATATATATATATATATATATATATATCCCTATCATTAATACATTTCAACAATATGGTTAATAGATTCGCGGAAAGCGCACAAATAAAACAGCCATTTTTCTGCATCAACAAAATCCCCCAAAAGAATCATTTTATTCGCAAACAAGAAAAAATATTCTCCATTTTAACAATTATCAGATGATAAGACTTATTTTCATGGGTATGGATTTTATAACGTAATTAATATCTCACTCGTGATTGGTAGACTGTTCTGAGATATAAGTAACCACAGCAAGATGTTGCTGCTCTGGTCGATGTCACCCCATTCCCAAGTGGTTTTGAATTTCGAATTTACCTTTTTCTAGACGGGTTCCCATTTAGGGCCGAAAAGCCCGGTTTACTCTACTATTTACCCTATATTTGTGGTGACGTTTGGAGAGAAGAAATTCATTCAAACTTTTCCTAACGGTATTTGCACGAAAGTTAACATAACGAACATCATTGGAATTCGAATCGGCTCGCCGAACTCTCGTTCCGAGCGGCATATTCAACAGATGCCTACACAACCGCTTTTAAATATGAAAAAAAGCTAATCATGACATAATCAAAATGGCTCATTTTCATGAAAGTTTCAAGCAAATCAATTTCTACGCAACTAAACATTTCTCGTTAAATTAGATATAAAACTAGTAAGATTTAAATGAATTTAAATGTTATTTTTTCAATACAAATTTGTAACATGTAACTGGAAAAAATCCATGTAAAATGGATTCGAGAAGGAAACGAAAACCATAAAACTGTCTAGCGATACAAGGGCTTTGTACGTTGTGTCATTGCAACAACATTGTGAAGACCACGGAATATGTCTCTCTTTATGGAGACCATTTCATAACACAGCAGACTATATCTAATTTCCAACAAGTGAGTAAATATTCCTACTTTTGATCGGCCTCAAAATTAGTGTTAATTAAATCACTCCTGATCAATACAAATATAATTAATTTTCAAATCACAGCAGACGAGGTATTTATAAATTATACTAATTGCCAGTAAATGGTTCATATGTAGATTAAACTACTTACGCTGGAGAGAAAATTAATATCTTGCATGAGAAAATGTACGTTGATAGAATTTTTAAAAAAAAGACTTAAATGATAGTAATGTTGAAAGGAATATAAGATTACTACGTGATTCTAGTTTCAAATATTTCAACTTTATTTTATTATAGCTTGAACATTGCAGTTACATTAACCGAACTGACAGGATTAAGTAATAAAAGACTATGAATATATAAAAAAATAGCTTTCAGTTCCGAAACAAATAACTTTACCAGTTGTTTGGACTAATCGCAGAAGTTGACTCATGGATACTTTAATGATATTAAAACATAATTGTAAATAATGTTACATATAAATAGATATCAGTCAATACAAGCAAAAAGTAGACACAAACAGAGAAACAGATACACGATGGACCACCGAACATTCTCTGCACTATCCACTTCATATTAATCAGACCTTAAAATATTGACTCTCTATAAGCATTATTTATAGATTGTACACATGTTTGAGTTACTATTTCTGTTATGCTTTTTCCTTATTTCCTTAAACAGTAAAATTAACTGGCCTAGATCGAAAATTCCTACGAGGCTGGTTTTTATTAATTTCATTACTAAGGAAAAAAATGAATAAACAGAGATAATAAATACGTGTGCCAACTAAAAATAAATTTTATAGCTATAAGAAATAATGTCGGTTTAAAAAAAATCCATTAAAAATTACTGATATTTTCATGTCGAAGCATCTGTTTCTGAAAAAAGTAATTAAACTTGGGAAACCAGCGACAATATCTCAAGTAATGTGCAGTTCAGTTCAACGTCGTAGAATATATGGGAGCAGACCTACTAGGGTGTCTCTGTTAATAGAAAAGATGCGGGAAAATGTGCCTCATCTGGGCTTGTGATGTTGCGAAATGAGTACCGAGCACTGTACGGTTTCAGTTATATCTGCCTGACAATAGTATTCTTGCGTGTTAAAGAATTCAAAGAATATTGGACCCTGTTGGCGCATACAGCTGAATCGTAGTTCTAATGTGGTTTAATGAATCACGGTTTCAGATATATCTACCTGATAATAGTGTTCCTATGTGTTGCTTACCTCAGAATCCGATGAGACCTGTTGGGGCATGGAGGTGGGTCGTGGTTCTAATGTGATTCAATAAATCATGGTTTCAGTTGTTTCTGGCAGATTATGGTTTCTCTTCTTTATTACAGACCCCCCAAAATTCATTGAACCCTGTTAACGCATGTAGGCGAGTCAGTTACATAATAATAGGGGATGAGTTCACGTGGCAAGTTTGGATCCTTTCGTTTACCTAAACAAGTCGTTAGCCCGTGTCTGCTACGTTACCAAACTGCTAATCATCTACGCTCATTCATGGATTTTGTATCTCTTCAAGAACTACTGTTCAGTAAGTTAAATCCGCCCAAGTTACCCATTTTTGGTTTAAGAAGATTTCAGAAGTGGAGGGATCTATTCTCATGCACCTACCGATATCAGTGAGATGTGAACATATCACGAATCGGTATGACTCAACATGAGTCCAGAGTGTTTTCGATGATTTCTAGAATCGATGCCATACATTTTTTGTTTGTCATATTCAACAATGTATGCCTGAATACATACATACATACATACACACACACACACACACACACATATATATATATATATATATATATATATCGTGGACTCTCCGTCGTTGTACGGCTCGGGCTGTTGATCCTCGCCTACCGAGGGGACCTTTTACGATGTATGAGGGTCAGGAAACTCAGTTCTAGGAACCGGGAGCCAGACAACTTGTGCATATGATTTGATTATAGTGGTGAAGGTTTTGTGCATATACATATATATATATATATATATATATATATATATATATATATATATATGTGTGTGTGTGTGTGTCTGTGCATATATATGTGTGTGTGTCTGTGCATATATATGTGTGTGTGTGTGTATATATATATATATACACACACACACACACACACACACACACACACACATATATATATATATATATATATATATATATATATATATATATCAGAAGTTTTATCAAATTTGTCGCAGGTCACAAGTTTTTCAATTCACCGGACCCCATAATACTAGGCACATAACCCATGACTTCTAGACAAGTGTTTTTATATTTAAGATACAGTTTATTGGCCTACTAGACAGATTATTAAAATGACCTGTATATCAGGTAGCGATATAAAGGTTCACTGCGCGAACATCTTTATAAAATCTGACTAAATGACTAAAATAATTTTTTCTCAATAATCTTTTGGTCGTGTGAGAACATTCAACATTCTTTCGTACATGAACATAGATTTAGCTATTTATTAACTGGGGGAGGAAAATGACAAGAGAAAATAGTTGAGAAAAGCGTGTTGATTGCTGAAAAAGAAGAAATCGCGAAGAAAAATGGAAAATTTAAACAACCTATATAATTATTTTCATCTTTATAGATCTAAGAAAGCATGCTGTTGACAGTTGCGTTCAGAGAATACAATCGAAAGAAATTATATGAATATATATGAAGAAGAGATTGAAGCAAGAGAAATGTGGTTTTACAAAGTGATGTTGAGAATACAATGGACCACACTTTTGAGAAAGGACGAAGTTTTAGAGAAAATGGAAACAAAAATTAGGAAGAGACAATTGAAATATCTAGGGCGCTTATTGAGGAAAGAGGGCTTAAGAAATCTGATACTTACATGTCAAATGGAAGGCAAGAGAGACAGAGAGAATCAACACATAAACTACCTAGCGAGGTTAAATAAATGGCTGACAAAAAAAAAAGGTTTAAGAAAGATAATAAAATACAACATTTATTAAGAGCTACAAGGGGCGGGAAATTGTAGAGAACCATGTTCGCCAACAACCTGCCGACACGGCATATAGAAGAAGAAGAAGAAGAAGAAGAAGAAGAAGAAGAAGAAGAAAGAAGAAGAAGAAGAAAGAAGAAAAAGAAGAAGAAGAAGGTTTCAAATTTGAAAAGGCCGTAACGGGTCGTCTGATGTACGATTATACTGAGATTCTATTATTTCATTCTGCTCGAATCGACATTTTTGTTATATCAGTTACAAAACGTAGCAGATGAAATTATAGCAAAATTACAAAGAAAAGGAGTACTCTTTGAAATGAAAGAAACTGTTTACTTATCTTCCCTATTAAAATGTCTGTACTGATGACACAAACATGCAATGTAAGTCACTGAATGTAGACATAGGTCGACCTCGACTGAACTGCTTGGAAAGATGATTGACTTCGAAGACAGTATTGGTCGACACGCGGGCGTGTTTGGTTGACAACTATTCGTTATTAAGAGAAAAACAGATACCATATTCATGTCAACTTTCCTTCCTTTCTGTCATTCTACGTTTCTATTAAGCTTTACTTTCACTTTCGTTTATATCCAGAGATTTTCTGGAGCGGCACATCAGAGGAAATAGGTTTGGCCTTCGATGCTGATTCATCCAAGAGAATAAATATGTATTCTGTGAGGCCAGAGATACACAGTGATAGACTTCCGTTCAGCCGTATGTTTGTTTGCAGATACATCTAAGCAACTGCATGCATGTAGGAAAGCTAATACTAATACTAACCGTTTTTATTCATTAGCCGCAAAATGATTTGATGGAGAATAAAAAAGACAATGTTTAAATTCATGTCTATATGCTTTCATGTCTATTTTAATAGTGCAATATCACGTGGTAACATCATGTGATTACTTTTTGTTCAATTGTCTTCTTAGTTTTGGGTTAAGTTGTAGAAGATACAATAAAATATGTTTTCGAGCGGTTTGCAACATATCGTTTAATTCGGACGAGATATGAGAATGAGGACAATAAAACCATAATTTGCTTGTTCCTTCACACAAGGGCTTACGGCCATATCACGTTGAAACGACGGTTCTCGTAAGATCACCGACGTTAAGCATTGTGGAGCCTGGTCAGTACCGAGATAGGTGACTGCTTCTGAATACTAGGTGCAGTAAGCTTGGATATGCGGGTGGGATGGCTTACGGCCATATAACTTCCAAACACCGGTTCTTGCACGATTACTGAAGTTAAGCATTGCCGAGCCTGGTCAGTACTTAGATGAGTATCCGCTTTGGAATAGCAAGTGATGTAAGACTGGATGTGCGGGCGGTGTTATGGATAACTGCTCGGAATTGGAAATTGGAGTGCTGAGTTCTAATTCCTGCCGAGTCCGCTACATTCGCTTACACGCAAAATATCATCGAATCCGCATCTATCCACTAGCTATGGATTAATTAGTAGGACCTCTCTTAGTAAATCTTTATCTAAAAAAAATCATACAATCTAAAAATATGAAGGTGGCTAAGCCGTAAAAATCAAATTAATCATTCACGCAAGCAACCCATTTATCTGATCACACTGGAACTCAGATAAACGTATAAATATAGATAATGCCTAAAATAACCGTAACTAAGGTTTACAGATCTATTTATATATGTCCTTTTTCGAATACATATGAGCATACACCACAGGATTAGAGCGTTTCCATTATTAAAGTACAAGTTCTAATAATCTATCTATAATTTTTATTTCACTTAAACTTCGTTGCTGAATATAATACTATAATACATTGCTAAATTTAGGAAACGAATAATATTTTTTACTGTTCTGGTGTGTTGATGAATTCTTAATGAATATATTTGAATAAAATAACGCTTAAAGGGATTAAAATCCATTTATATATATATATATATATATATATATATATATATATATATATATATATATATATATATATATATATATATTTGGATATAGATGTGAGTTTGTGACCCTGGGTTTCACGCTTTAGCGATCGTCAGACAAACTGATTAATGCTTTAAAAAATTTGGGTTTATGTAGATTGCGTGTATTGGTGTTATTGTGGAAGTGGTGGGTGAAATTGTCGTAGCGCGCATATAATATATAAATAATTACACATATATATATTTATTTATATTTATATACACTTTTCACACACACACACACACACACACACACACACACACATATATATATATATATATATATATATATATATATATATATATATATATATATATAGAACTGTAAATCATTATTCAGACAGAAATTGTTAAATATAAAGACAACGGATGTCTTTTAGGTTTTGTCATGAGTTGTATAATGGCTGTAGTTTGAAGAGAATATAAAGACAAAAACGGTACAACATTTCGACATTTCTTAATTCTGTGATCATCAATCGAAGATTTTTTTATTTTCTATAGAAACTAAAGTCGTTATACAAAACTTGGTACAGCTCATGATAAAACATAATATACATTTGTTGTTTGTCATATTCAACAATGTATGCCTGAATATATATATATATAAGAACTTGGTAAACCGAATGGGTAATTCCAAGGAGGATGAAATCCTGAGAGCTCAATGTGAATACAGAGCTAATATTTAATTAAAAACAGAGCACTTTAATATACCATTACAATAATTTATTTCAACAAAATCCTTTTAAAGGACTCCGGATCATCAGGTAACAATTCCAACAACGAAATGAAAGCTTTCATTTTCGTTGTTGAAATTGTTAAAAAGGACTTTTGGTGAAATAAATTATTGTAATGGTACCTAAAGTGGTCCGTTTTTCATTATATATATATATATATATATATATATATATATATATATATATATATATATATATATATATATATAACCAGTGTGATTAAGAATCACATGATCCGGGTGCGCATTCGCTGCCGACTTCACGAAGCTAAGAGTGATTCTAATAAATGTAATATCTGATAATATTTTATTAAGTTTTTCAGCATTCTGTAATAATGATAATCAATAAAGAAAGCCTTTCTTAGGCTTTCATTATTGATTATCATTATTTACAAATTGCAGAAAACTTGATAAAATTATTATTATTATTATTATTACTACTGCTACTACTACTCTTCTTTTTCTTCTTCTTCTTTGTTCCATTTCCTTTCAGGAAGTGGATGGTCACAGTTGTCGACAACTACCTAGCCTTTATATGTCTTAGTATGTTTTGTCTCTTCGTTATCATTCACAATCCCTGTTCTACTATCCATTCTTACAAGTTCCTTAAAGTGGTTACTAGCTGCATTCCCCTGTATCTTCTGTTTTCATTAGGTTCTCTAACTCCCCAAGTCCTCTTTCCTCATTATGTGTCCTAGGCATGGAAAATAAACTTCGTATACGCTTCATTTTAAACAAACCCGACCAAATGAGCGAAGAGATATTTATTTTTATTTTTGTCCGGGTCGATTATTTTTAGCATCCATTCGTATATTTTTCACAATTCCCAAACTATTCAAAATTCCAACTAGCCTTCACTGCTAATTATAAGATATCTTTCTGATCTTCATGAGATATAGGAACTAATCGTCTATTAATCCCAAGGTGAATTAACTTAGACTCGGGAATTCCGTCATTTTAATTCTGAATGATAAACGCACATTTCAAGCATTGGTAAAAGTCGTGGGAAAATTGAATGTGACAGATTGTCATCAGGAACAAAAAGATAAGAGAAAACAGTGGTGAGGGGAAATCAATCGATCTGAATATTATATTTCTACAAAAATAGTTGCCATCATTGCACATTTCCGGAGTAACGGCAAATAGTTTAAATACTAACAATACATTAAAAATATAAAGAAAAATGACGGAGTTTTTCGACATAATACTTGTACCGTTCATGAATGCGTCTAAAAATGTACTAATATATTTCTGCCAGTCTCTCTCTCTCTCTCTCTCTCTTTCTGTCTATTTATCTATTAATCTCAGTCTGTTCATATCTATCTATCTATCTATCTATCTATCTATCTATCTATCTATCTATTTATCTATCTATTTTAGTCAGTTCATATCTTTCTATATCAGTATATTCATATCTATCTATCTATCTATCTATCTATCTATCTATCTATCTATCTATTCTAGTCTGTTCATATCTTTCTATCTCAGTATGTTCATATCTATCTATCTATCTATCTATCTATCTATCTATCTATCTATTCTAGTCTGTTCATATCTATCTATCTATCTATCTATCTATCTATCTATCTATTCTAGTCAGTTCATATCTTTCTATATCAGTATATTCATATCTATCTATCTATCTATCTATTTATTCTAGTCTATTCATATCTTTCTATCTCAGTATGTTCATATCTATCTATCTATCTATCTATCTATCTATCTATCTATCTATCTATCTATCTATCTATCTATTTATTCTAGTCTGTTCATATCTTTCTATCTCAGTATGTTCATATCTATCTATCTATCTATCTATCTATCTATCTATTCTAGTCTGTTCATATCTTTCTATCTCAGTATGTTCATATCTATCTATCTATCTATCTATCTACCTATCTATCTATCTAAATATGTTTATATCTATCTTTCTCTCTATCTATTTCAATCTGTTTATATCCATCTATCTCTCTTTGCTCCCCCTCTCTCTCTTTCATTACATCATTATTTTGTAGAATTTCCACCTGGTATTATCTATTTCAGTTAAGAAATATCATAAAAAAACATATAGGCAAGCGAACATATATATTACAATATATATTAAAATGGTCGGTGTGTAATTTCGGATTTCAACGTTATAAGATTTGAGCAAAGCATCAAAGTCAAAACCAAGGCTGAATGGTAGAAATCTGCTATCATCTGCTCTATCCACGAGTATGTCATTTATAATGCATTTCAGATATAAACTGGACAATGTTGCAAATAAGGAATTTAGCATCTCTTGAGATTTTGATTAAGAATCAAACATAAAGTTCCAGTATTCTTTTAATCAATAATGATAAACTTTCCATTTTTTTAAATCACATTGTGAAATGTGATGAAAATGCTGGTGCATGCCCCCAAAACCAGGACTCTTTCAGCAAACGTACTTGCACGTTTCTAGTGATATATATATATATATATATATATATATATATATAATAATCATAATAATAATAATAATAATAAAAAAGGCTTAAACACTAATATTCCATGGTCATAATTCATTCCATTGGAATCGTAAATACGATCCAATTCATCAGACCTACAAATTCAAAAAGAAAACAGAAAAAAAACAACTCCGGAAATAAAATTAGAATTTAGAGTGAGTGTAAGTATGAGAGTGTGGGACGAATGTTAGAGCTAAAGAGAGGGGTAACAGACGAGAGAAGGTGGGAGATTAAACCTTAAAAGAGAGAAGTTTTAGAATATTTACCACTAATATTAGCTGATTATATATATATATATATATATATATATATATATATATATATATATATATATATATATATGTTATAAGCTACTGAAATATATATTTTTGATTTTTCTGCATTGTTTAAGAACAAAAGTGTTATTCTCCAGTATGTCATTATAAGGGAACACAGCAAAACAAACCCAACAAAAAATGAGATCGTTAGGATAGGAGGTTGTTTCATCTCCATAATTACCAGATTTAGTACCTACAAGTGTTCATTTGTTTCAAGCACAAAAACATTTTCGAAGAGTCAAGAAACATAGATTTCCTGAAAAATAATTGAAAATTTTACATTAGGAGAAAAAAGAAACTGACTATATTTACCTAAACAATATTTAATTTGCATATCATTTCAAAGAAATGTATTGGTGTGGGATTAAATGAAATATACGTTCCATTCATCTGACTTCCAATGAACTCAAAATGTATTTTTGTATATATTTAACGAGTCATAATTTCAGGTTCTGATTCAAAAGTTTGTTTAGGTCAGTAAATTGTATGACGAAGTGGTAAAAAATTGCTTGTGATGTGTTCCACCTTTAGAACTTTATCGGACTGAGCATAACAAAATGATTCCGATAAATTACGGAAAGACGAAACGCTTCACAATTCAACGTTTTCCAGTTTGTCATAAAATTTCCCCAACAATATATATATATATATATATATATATATATATATATATATATATATATATAGTTAAATTCTCAGATCAATTCTGTGGATGAGACAGATTGGTATAAATGACAATTGGAAAAAATAATCTTAGATTTTGCCGACGCGTTTCGTCTTCCGACTTTTTCAAGGCAAAAAATGAAATCGAAATGTTTTTTGTTGTTATA